TATCAGCATTGTCACTTGAAGGGTCTTTATTTTCATCAACAATGTTCCAAAGATCCAATGAAGCCAATAAAAGCTCTATTTTTTTCTTCCAATGGTAAAAGTTGTCACCTCTAAACTTTTCAATCACTCTTAAGCTTTCACCTTGACTTGAAGCCATGTCTAAGATAGGGATGTGTGAAAGAAAATTAAGAAAAGAGAAGATAGAGCTCTCAAAATCAATAAGAAGGTGTTGCTACCTTAGAAACCTAAAATGCCTTCTATGTAATTATATAAGTGATTTCACTCTTGTATCACTCTCAACTTCACATATAAGACTTCTCACAAGTCTTATACTCTATCTAAATCTCTTGCATAAGCTTTGCCACTCTTCAATCACCCCTCTTCAATCACCCCTCTAACTACACAAAACACATCTTGTAACAATAGAAGAATCTTTTATAAAGTTAAATATATGAAAGTACAAAGTTAGAGCACCAATGATGAAATTCAGCAAAGAAATATAATATTAAAGTTCTAAATCATCATTATATAGAGTCTAACAACAACTAAGACTATCAATGCAATTAACAATAAATAAGAATAAAAACTACATCAATAATTAGATGCATAAGAAGGATTAGAGGAGAGCAAACTCAAACTTCAGCAACAACCATAAGATCCATTCATCACAACAAGAAAGACTTCAAAGTACTTTAAAACTCACAAGTAAAGGTGAGTGGATCCATAATCTACTAAAGAACAAGCACTTTGAAGACACAACACTTAGCATCAGCAAGATTGCACACAAAGAGAGTATGGAATAAGATATCTCTCAATTCTGATATCCATTACTTATAGGTAGTAGTTGCTGCCCTAAAAGACAACTTCCACTCTTTGACTTTTATACATGTGGCCTTAGGATCCTTTTGGCATCCCACAAGCCTCGAGGATATCTTATGATACACACTAATGACTCTTACTTAGTCTTTGGATATTTTCTTATTAATACTTTATCTTTTTGACTTTGACTCTTGGTCTATGACTTTTTCTTATATCCATTGGATGCCCTTACTATATACCAAGAGTCAAACCTTTGACCATTAGCAACTTACCTAAGTTAATATCTTCTATAAGGTAACTTATTCTACTTTTAGTTTAACAAAAATCATATCTATAAAGCTTTTAGGAAGCTTTTCTATAAGATATTATAAAATTTATCTATTTTTATCTACTTTTGCCTATATCTATCTAGTTATATAGGTTATTATTAAAGTAAATATGTATATCAATGATAAGCTAAAGTTGAATTTTTTGAATATATCATATCTAATAGAGGTTTATTAATGGATCCAAAGAAAATTAAAGCTATTAAAGATTAAATAATTTCTAAGATATTACAAGATATATAATGTTTTTTAAATTTTATTTATTTTTATTCAATATTCATTAAAAAATATTCTCAATTAGTAATTTTTTATTTTTTTGACATATAAAAATAAGTTGAGAGGCTTTAAGTAGAAAATGATTTTAAAGACATTAAAATAACTTTTATTTCAACTCCAATTTTAGTATATTTATATTTTTCAAAATATTTTTATATAAAAATTAATATCTTAGATTTTGCATTAAAAATTCTACTATCACAAAAATAAGAAGATAAGAAATTACTTCTAGTGGTATTTTATTCTTAAAAATTTACATCCACTGAGATTAATTATGAAATCCATAATAAAGAATTTTTTTTACAGATTCATTTTAAGAATGGGATTATTTCCTTGAAGGTACTTTATATCTATTGAATGTCTATATAAATCATAAGAATCTTAAGAATTTCATAATTTCTTATATTTTAAATTATTATCAAGTCCAATAAAATATACTTTTATTTAATTTTGACTTCAATATTACTTATTGACCAAGAAAACAATAAGAGTTGTCAAATACTTTATTTAGGCAATCATATCTTATATCAAAAGAGAAAAAATCAACATATTATGATTATCAAATACTACTCTTAAAATACAAGAATTTTTATTTTTAAATAATTATTATATTAATTCCAATGGATTCTTTATTTTTTAATCAAGTCCATATAATATTGACTATGGACCTTCTTATCCTTTATATCAAATAATATGCTAATAAGATTTAAGATAATTTTAATAAATTTAAGTTTAAAAATGGCCTTCTTTATTTTAAAGAATATCTATATATTCTTGAAGGATATGTACACTTTTGTATTTTGCAAGCACATAATGGCTTTCATGTTGTTAGTCATTTTAGATTTGATAAGACATTGGAACTTTTTTCTTGAGACTTTTAGTGGCTTAAGATTTAAAAAATTAATATATATTTTGTATTTTCATGTGATATATGTTTTAAATCAAAGAATCTTCAATATCACCTATACAAACTTTTTTAACTACTACCTATTCCGAGACAATTTTGGGCTTCTATTTCTATAGATTTTATTACAAATCTTTTTCCATAAAATTCTTTTGATGCCACATTTTGGATCATTGACTAATTTACTAAGATGGTATATTTTATTCTATATAAAAAGATATTCATATAAAAAAATATAATTAAACTATTTATTAATAAAATTTATTGATATCATAGATTGCCAAATAATATTATATTGAATGAAGGATTGTAATTTATATCCAAGTTTTAGAAATTATTCTTTGAATTCCTTGAAATAAATATCAAATTATCCATAATATTTTACTAGAAAATTGATAGTCAAATGGAATAAGTCAAACAAATTTTAGAGTATTATTTAAGATATATTATTAATTATCAATAAGATAATTGAACTTTCTATTTTTTACTTATTGAAATTATTTATAATAATATTATTTATGCCTCTAATATTATTCATGCTTCTATTCAATAAATGCTTTTCTACATCAACTATAGATATCATCCAAAGTTAGATATATTACTATCTTTTAAATAAAATAATCTAGCAATTGAGGAATTTACTACAAAATAGGTAGACTTGTATTCAACTACAAAACTCCAATTAGAAGAAACTCAAAAGATATAAAGTAGTTGTAAATAGACTTCAAAAATAACAACCTTCTTTTGGAATTGGTGACAAGGTATGGCTCCTTTGGCATACTATAGGGAACATTTAAGCTTACAATAAATTAGATGATCAAAAATTATGATTATTTCTTGTTAAAAAAAATATTATCTCTTACTATTTGGAATTATTAGCATCAATAAAAATAAATCTTATTTTTTATTTTATTTTTTATCTTTATAAAGAATTAAGCATAGCAAGAAGAATACAAGTGCCATTGCCTTGTATTGAAATATATAATCATGAAAAATTTAAGATGGAGATAATAGTTGATTTAAAGATAAAATAAGAATAACTAAAATATACTATATATTGATGCAATTATACTAATAGTGACTACACAAGGGGGCTTACTTAAAATTTAATAAATGCGCTTCATAAGATACAAGATTTTTATCAACAATATCCTTCAAAATTAAGAATGGCAACACATGTGACTACTACTAGATAACATTGTCATAATATTTAGCCTACAAATATTAATATTATACTTCCAAAGTTTTTTAGAATTCTTATAGAAAGATAAGAAGCAACTAATGAGACTTTATTGATAATATATGTAGCAAATCAATCCATTCTATCATACCTTAAATTTAGAAGTATATCTTATTTTAGCTTAGTAGTTTTAATAATAGATAATTAAAAAAATAATAGTTTGTACATTAGACCATCTCAACCAAGTAGTTCACATTGTCAACCTTGAGACAAATAATTCTCTAAACTGTAAAGATGTCAAAGAATACCAGGTAATTGATCATTATTAATTATCATTGAAGTAGAACCTACTCATGAAGATTATCTAAAAGTGGTGTTTGAAGGAGGTTTTTACAATGAAGATACTAAAATACAAGCTTGGTTTTAAATGGAAGGTTTTGGTTATTATCTTTGGTTGCAAGGATCAATGAGTCTTTTGATCCCTTAAGAGCAACTAGAATATGTTGTACATACTATGATGTATATCTTTGATTTTTTTTGCTTTTAAGCAATTATAATTTAACTACTTCTTAAAAAACTTGAAGCTAAATGATAAAGTGATGTTATAAACATCTATTTAAAAAATATTTTGGAATATTTAAAAGCTTATATAAGTTTCTAAAAGATTTTAGAAGATCTTAGAAGATTATAGAAAATTCCAAAATAAGCTTGTAAGATTGCTTAATTCCTAAATAATATAGGAAATTACAAGAGAAGGTTCTTGAAATTGCTTTACAATAAAGTAACAAGAAAATTGCTCAAAAAGCATCTTAGGATGACTTAGGAATAGTCCTTCAACAAGAAGTTATCTAAAAGCTTCTTGAATCCTAGTATATATAGGTGTTGGTGATGAAGGGCTCTTTAGTCTCAACAATATATGTCTTATAGTCTAATTTTGGACGTTTTAGTCTTATTATTGTTCTATTATTGCATTGTTTGGTAATAATACTCATGGATCTAGTTATCTTGCTATACTTTTGCATAATCCTAAGATCTTATACTTAATAAAAGATTTGATTCTATTTATTAAATTCACTTGAAATAAAATTTGATACTTTATATGTTTCTAAATATCAAATATTAGATTATAATATTTTCTTAGTTTAAAATTAAATAACTTCAATATACATTATGTTCTAAAATAATTGAAGTAATAAGGAGTCAATACATTGACATATAGTACTTGCTAAAATCTACAAGTTAAAGCATATTTTAAGTAAATAAATAAATAAATTATTAATCATTAATTAACATTGCTAAACATATTAAGTATTAGTGCTGACAAGGACAAGAGATAGAGTAAATGAATCATGACACGACAAGAGAGAGTGTGGTGTTAATAATATTGGAATGTGGCTTTAAAAACTTCATGTATATATATATATATATATATATATATATATAATATAAAAAATATTATATTTTTAAATATTGCTAAAATTTTGTAAATTTATTGCGTAATGGTATTTTAAAAAGAATATTGTATGCCTCCATATCCAAATATATCATACTATTTTGATGACATGGCATATCTTACTAAAACTTTATCAAAATTTTAATTGCAATATATTTTAATTGCAAAATTTTACAAAATAACTTATAATTGCAATTGTGCAATAACTTCTAATTGCACCTTGTGTAACATACATGAGATTGGCTAATTCTTTGAACGTTTTGGAACTGCATTGAATATTTTTACAATGTAAACAACAACAATGTAGAAATTGTAGTTGGAAGTAGAGAAGTTCACACCATGCTACCATACGTATAAATAATACAGCGATCATTTTGAAAAGCATAAGATAAGATTCGGAAATAGAGTATCTCAGGACTTAAACGGAGAAGAATGAGAATAGTTTTGCCTTCAGAAGCGTAGGTTACTTACGAGAGGATCCGGTTCATGAGTCTATTTTCACAATGTCAAGAGCTCCTTCTCCATGAATTCTGGTTATTGATGCTAGCTGTGGCAATGTGCTAGTAGTTCCTTCAGGTTACCTGCGAAAGCGAAAGGTTCTAAATGCTGTTTTTATTGTTTTTTTAGCTCAGATATGGAGTTTACTGTGGATTGTGACTGTGATTTCCAATCACGTGTTAAAGTCAACTCAAAATAATCCCCAGGCTCGAAAGACTCTATTGCACCTCTTGCGTTGGTCCATTTTTTGATGTCAGATGGGGCCTGTACAAAAAATCAATACTCGGTTATTCATCTCGGAAAAGATCGGTAGTAGCTCCTCGCAACCCACTTACCCCACCTCACACATAGTTAAGTGACGGGCCCAACATTATAAATTTCTCACTTCAGTTAATTTTGAAGTAGCATCCAACACCGATCAGCAACATGGGCTGTTGCATCCTTGTCCACGCTGTGTGTAAGGGGTTGGCTTTATTTACCAAGATGCCCAGAGCGAAGGTATCATATCCTCGTGACGTTTCTGGTGGTGAGTCTACATTGTCATCTCTTTGTCTTACTCTCCCTGGAATTTCTGTAGCTTCACATGCATCTGATAACATGGAACTTCCTGCTTCCAAGCTACAATCAACAGACACATCACATCATGTATTTGTGAGGAATATCAGGCTGTTACATGTTGAGTTGGTTGTGAAGACGAGATATGACGATTCAACTTGTTCATTTCTTAGCTAATTCACTTCGTTAAATTCTAAGAACCTGTGAAACTTGCACCACAAAGTAGAGGGACGAAAACCTGCTTGTACGGGGACCTAATGCATTTGAAGCCTGCAATTTTTTTGCGTGAGCCTCAAATGAATCTGCTACAGTTGCGACTCTGCCATCTCACACGCCAAATCAAGTCATTTGACATTCTAGGGACAAGTGGAGCTAACCTTCAGTGTAAGCTATGTAATCCTGTAACATACCTAGATTTTACGAATTTCACTTGAAGAGGACGATGCAACTAAATGAGAACTTGATAATGCTTTACAAATACTTACAGAACCATAATATTTAGTTTTCAATCATTCATTTAAGCCATGACTACTGGTGAGAGGTCATCGTCTGAGATAAATGCAAATTTAAGAGCAAATTTTGCAGCAGGAAGGTAAGTTAGCCATCGTAACCCTTTACTTCACAAGCACATGGCTCAATAGTTATGCTACCTCGCTTCATATTTTTCAGCTTCAATTATCATTCTAGACATGTTTTCCCCTGATGAATACGATTCTGTGAGTAGCAGAGAGAGCACAGAAGAGTGGACTCCTACTGCTGGCAATGTCGCAAGTTCTTGTTCTCGGGTGCTTTTTGGAGGGGTGTCAGCAGCATCTCTTATCGAGGCCTCAGGGTTGGATTTTTCGCCGCTGCAAAATAAGGTCGGCACCACATTGTCCGTCAAAGTGTTTTCTGTTGATTTCGGGACATTTGCGGGTGAATACATTGATTCCCCCATAGAACCTCCACTAGGTGTCTTAGATTCAGAAGTAGTCGCAGTTAAGAGCCCTAAAAGAGATTCTTTTTCTGCTGATGCACAGCGTATTCTACAGCTGATGGCGTCCAATTCCAGTTCATTTTCTCCCTTCGTGTTCCTGGCAGCTACTGCAGAAAGTTCTTTGGTAGAGGCGGGTAAAAAAGATGCCTCGGCGAATGTGCAAATGTACTCCAGAGCTTCAGTGTAACCTGACAACATGGTGACACCACTCGCGACGCCTCTTTGAAATATCCCCAGGAGAGCACAACATCGTTGCAAAACCAGATGTACTTATTAGAACATGCAAAACAGGGGAAATGCCAAGATGTTGGTCACCTTCATCGTTCGAATTTTCGCATTTTTTATTCCACTGAGCTGGTTCTTACAGAGGGTTTGGTTGCCAATTTTTTGCACATAGGTAAGTGCGGTTAGAAAGATGAAAGAATATGCGTGTGCGTGTGCGTGTGTGTAAATATATATATATATATATATATATATATATGTTTCTATATTCATGCAAATACCATCGAGAAATTAAGTAAAAAACCATCTGCAGGCATGGACTTTGTCCCAACGCACCAAAAGTTGAGTTCCTGGGTAATTTGAATTTCACACCCAGGGACTTTGCCTTTTCAGTGAGTTTCTCCCCTAAATGGTCAAGATCAACCTCAATAATTTCTAGCTGAGTCTGCAAGATAGTTGTACTGAACTTCAGATGAGCTTCGCAATGTTGCAAACGGTTGATGCTCTAATAATGGAAAATCTACCACATGTTTCGAAGCCTAACCCAGTGGACATAACAGCTTGTAAAATGGTTGAATGTTTCATGGAGCATGCACCTGTAGATACGAATCTGATAATGTGTTGCCACTATCCGACCTGAGTAGTGAATGAGAGAGTATCGATTTCCTTCCCTGCACAGAATTAAATATATACCGAAAGCAGGAATGATTTCTTTCTGGGAAAACTGAATGGAATTGAAATCAACTCTCACATGCCCAGATGAAAATAATGGCAAATGGTCACAGAAACGGAGTTCAATATCACCTGAGTTTGCTGAAGGATGACATGTTTTGCAGCTACTTGCAACTCTGCTTCTGAAACAGATTTGGTCATTTCTTCATATTGTCGACTCAAGGAATAAACCTGAAGTTAGAAGGTTGTCAACAGAAGGGCTCGGAATCACTTGGCATTAACAATAATCAAGCATAATATGCTTTTCATTTATATCATGTTTTCTTTTAAAAGCATAAGCAACGTCAAATCATAGATCGAAGATGTTGATCAAACGAGACAGTTCAAAGAGACCTAAAACAACAATCCGATCGGTTTTGGTGAAAACCAGTATTGCACTCAACACACTAAAAATTTCAGTAATTCAAATCACCTTCTGAAAGCAGTTAAAACTCGAACCTTACGTCTAAGTGTGACAACCTTCTCTGTCAACTCCACGAGCTTGTTGTGACATCTAGTGTTGAAAAGCACCTGTCTTCATGAAAATTTTCTTGGTCAGATCTTCTTCTTCTTTTTTCTTTTTTTCTTTTTTTTGTGATACAATGCATACTGAAAGAACAGCATGTCTTTAGATTACAGCAAATAAAACAAAATATGAAAAAGGCTAAACAAAAAGAAGTCGAGACTTCATAAACAATCAAATAGAGGCATACAATTTCTTGTAGCTTTGAGCGATAATACTCTGCCCTCTCCTTCTGTGACAGAGTACGCCTATTCAAATCAGCGATCTGTAAATGAGCGGTATCCACTTGTAAGCAAGAGCTAAATTTGCATTCAATTGATTAGACTGCTAGCTAATGTTGTTGCTGTCATTCGTCCACCACGTTGGCTCTTATTCCAGTGTGATTATTGTGGAAGATTATTTGAGATCCGATCTCTTGGTGCATCGATGAAATTGTTCCCCGCGAGGTTCCACACAGTGATAATGTTCTCAGTGTTAATGTGTTGCATCTAAATCGCCAATTATTTCAGAACTTGACATATGCCCTCTTACACGAAGGACGTACAAACCTGCTTAATAGGTTTGTCTGACAGTATCGGTGAAGGATGTGTCGCAGAATCTTCTTCAATATTTCACTTGTGATTTATGCCACTTGTGTCACCATGAGGGGGTTGAGGATTGTGACAGTCAAAGTCCCTTCGCGTAGCGGGTATTGAGTACTGGAGGTGCCCTATTGGAGTGGTGGCCAAAGCATAGCGTAAGTGCTGAGAGGCAGATAGTATCATCTTGTCAGGAGTAGGATAATCTTCGCGGTGACTGTCCGTCGGGAGTCTAGAAGGCAGGGGGTGGCCTTCCTTGGATTTTTCTAAGAGATAAACGGCTGTACAGAACTCACGGACCGACAACATATTGTCACCATCTTGATCCGCGAGGTTCCAAACATGCCTTAGCACATCTGGACATAAAAATCGTATCGCTTGAGATCCCCATCATTTGACTTCTCATCATCATCATGTAATTTCGCACATAAAAAAGAACATCATATGAAGAGTACTGCTATTTCACCTCTTGGAAGTTGCCAATTTCGGAAGAGCTCACGAGCTTGCTCTCCTGTAATCTTTCCATCCTGATCAGTATCCACCTGGCTAAAGATGCGGACGAATCGCTGTATATCTGCCAGAGTCATTCTTGGCCAAGGTGACATTAATGCAGGTGCCACTACTGGGCGTCCATCTTGAACACTTCCAGAATTTAAGATCGCAGAGAGGGCTTAAGAAGTTGGTGCGATATCCAAAGATTCAGACTAAGATGCAAAAGTAGGACGCACTGAAGAATTCTGTCATATCATCACGCGAAATTGTGCTGCAAGATCAACGTTGATATAAGCAGAAAGTGTTTCCAGAAATCCAGTTGTAGAATAATAGTCCTGAAGGAATCTTCGAAGGTGCGGAGTTGAGAGTAGAAAATTTGCTCGGCAATGTTGTTGATTGAGAGGTCTGCAGAGCAGGTATCCCTTCGGCGTTAGAAAGTGGCGATGGTGTCATGCGTGGAGGGGGAAGCTGTCCAGCGGCTGATCCTATTAAAGCTGCCTTGATCACCTCCAGCGTAAGCTCTCTTTCTGTCTGTGCTACTGTCGCAAGCTTCAGAGCATTGTATAACTTCTTTCGTGAAAGGAATCCTGTCTGCCCTTGATCGACGATTGCCTAGATCTGAGAGGCGAATGAAAAACACCATGACTGCAACAAGAAAGCTGAAGGTACAGTGTTACATCAGCAATCTCTTGAGTATTCCAAATGAGAAAACACTGGGAAATTGGATCGGCACATCTGCTGTAGTTTATCCCAAAAGTCTCAGACAGTTTATCTAGCCATGCTCTTCTAAAACATTGCATCAGAAGTCTTTGCGGTGCCAGGCATTTCGTAAAACTCCACCCTCTAAAATTCGGCCGCTCGCAACAGCGAAGACATAAAAAGGTTTATGTCTGCAACATTAATTTTGTGCTCCTTTTAAGAGAAGGTATGCTGTGCAAAAACAATTCTCCTTACCCAGATTTGTTTATTTAAATAAAAAAAAATCTAGGTTATTTATTTATTTATTTGTAAAGTGATTATTCATAGGGTGCAAATTAGCTGATTAATTCAGATTTTATGGCAAGGTATGTGTAACTGGTCAACGGTCTAAATGAACGCCTTTCTGACAAAGAGGCTTCTGAACGTACAACGTAAAGAACAGAGCATGAGTTTGAGAACAGCATGCACTGCCAAACAGAGCATTTGCAAATCTGCAATGTTTTGCGATATAAATAGTTATGTGGAAAACAAGTGTTCGTAAAATGCAGTCATAGACCTCGATTAATTGGTACCGCACGATAAGAATCCCCTTGAGTCCCGTTGACTTGTTCTGATCCATGTGAATGGTAAGGCAACAATGAGAGAAAGGAATGGAGTTATAAAGCACCTTGGCAAGAGTGGTCTGAGGCAGAGCAGCAGCTCGGAATTTTTTTCGCAGACTCAACACCACTGATTCGACCATCGCAGTCCACATCTGCCATGTGAAAGAAGGCATCGAGGACCTCTGTGAGTGCCAAACCTTTGGAATTTATCGCCTTGTAAGGTGGGATGGAAAAAAGCAAATGTGTGGAAAACAATGCGTACGTAGGTGATGCAATGGGCATGGAGGGACAGCATTGAGTGAAGCCCGAATGAGACGACTCACGGGAAGCTTGCTTGTGTTGTTCGAACAAAGTTCGATAAAGCGACCCTACGAAATTAGGTTATGATAAAGCTTGTTCTTGGATTTTCAGTGGAGACAGTCCCTTAAAGAATATGTGATGACCATTATCACGCATTATAGAGTTGTGATAGAGGAAGAGAAGTTGGCGTGGGACGAGTCAGACAGATGGAAATTGTTTAAGGAGGAGGACCTAAAATCGTCCCCTAGATGAAAGAGTGGAGGGTCCAGATTAGGAAAGCCTTGCGGGTGCAGGGCAGTCGGGTCAGACCAGGAAAGGGATCGAGAGGTACACCCTAAGTTCGACAATGTAACATTGCTACCCTGGGTTCTTATCCTACCCGCTTAGAATTGTAATGTCCAACCTGGTGCTGCTCCTGTCCTCTTGGTTCTCCCAACTTTCCACTATTGATTTCAGCCTTGACTTGTACAGATTATGGGGTGCTTGTGCTTCACATAGAACTCACGAAATTCTTCATCTGAAGCTCCTGTCACACCCCACTCTTAATTGAAATTAATGCTCATTCATACATATGCAGTAGACCCTTATTTTTCTTTTTTTTCTTTTTTCTTTTTTTAAATCAAAAAAACTTCATGCCTTTTAACGGGATCTTCCCTTCTATTTCCTCCCTCCCAAATGCTTATGAGCTTCTAGAAGTCGGTGAAGAGATTTAGTCATTATGTCGTATTGGCATACAAGTGGCTATGCCTCGATTGACCTTGTAGTGAAGTTTAAGGCGGTTTGAGATTTTAGGGTTTACAGTATGATTGCTGAGGTCATTAGTTGTCCTGCCGTATGCGCACAGTTGGTCATTTTGTACTACAGTTGGTCTGTAATTTAATTTTTCTCTGGTTTCGTGATGACACTATTAGAAACTACAGATGGGTTGAGTCTGTGATTCGACTCTGAACTATTGTGCTGCGTTTTCCTGACAGACTAAGCGCACCAAAAAAGCTGGAATTGTCGGAAAGTACGGTAAGGTTTCTTGAGTCTTATCGCAGTGAAGTTCGTTTGACATCACTATACATATGTGGTATTCTTATGTTATGCTGTTCCATGACATTACTCTATGTCAAGCTTGATGCCTTTTTCGGTGTAATTACGATCCTCTCAAAATCCCGTGATTTTCAGGCACACGATATGGTGCCAGTTTAAGGAAACAGATCAAAAAGATGGAAGTTAGTCAGCACTCCAAATACTTTTGTGAATTCTGTGGGAAGGTGAGTTTTCAACTAAATATAAGTATCTGTTTAATCATATCGTTATGAGGAATTTCCCATTTTCAAATCTTCTCAATTGACATAATCGTTAATTTTCGCACGCGCACACACAGTCACACACAAACCCCGCGGTTCCGGAATAGCTAGGGTGTATTGAATTCAAAATCTTTCTCATATTGCACTATATTTATGCTCACTCCAGTTTGCGGTGAAAAGGAAAGCTGTGGGAATTTGGAGCCGCAAAGATTGTGGCAAGGTGAAGGCTGGTGGTGCTTACACCATGAAGTAAGTCCGCAAATTATTCCTTGTCTCTAGTGAACGTGTATGAAGCAGGATTGGCGTCATCAAGAGTGTTCATATCTATTATTTGATGATTGTTGCTTTTGTTTAGGTTAACTGTTTCCAACCCCCCGCTCTTCAGAAGTGTATGTGGTCCAACTTTTGTTTAACGCCAAACTATGGTCATTTTCAGAAGTAATGTACTAACCTTAAACGCTAAACCTCGTGGTGAGGATACTGTGCTGACAACATGCGTCAATGTTGAAGAGGTAAATCTTGGATTATATGTCGTTCAAGTGTGTGGCTTAATCGTCTCGTAATGTGTCTTTGACTCGTGGACTTCATGCTTATCTGTTGATTTTTGGTGATGCAGCACGGCGGCTGCTGTTACTGTGTGAAGCACCATCAGGCGTTTGAGGGAAGCCACAGAAAGCTAGATCACATGTTGTGTCTGTTATTATTTAAAGATCGTAAATTATTTTTGAAAGATTTTTCTTCGCGTATTGCTTTCATAGAAATTGGATAATTGCTTACTTGAGTTCGTGCGATCTGTCATGGGCCTTTGTTGTTAACATCTAATTAATCACGTACATCTGTCCAGATTGTGGATCTAGATCGTGAACCTCTACTCATCGGTAAAAGTCATGGATTACGACTAACTAATGAATCTACGAAATTTTAGTATGAAAGCATAAACTAGTCCTTGTAATTCACGACGTGTAAATCCTACAAGTAGTCTACGAGCTGCACCATGTTACTGCGGCATTCTTAACGTACCTGAATGGACCGCAGCATTGTATGTAGGTAGTCTTAGTTTTGGACAATTTTCAACTTCTGTCGAAGTTGCAATTATGATAATTATAGATCTGCACCAACGACCTCTGCACATGATAGCTTTCAGTTGGAGATTTACAGGCAAACTTAGATATATCGTTCTTGTCGGCCTTTTTTTGGTTGATGTATGGGATGTAGTGCACATGGTTAGTAGCTGTGCCTCAATTAATTATCTGTCACAACAGAAATTTATTCACCTATTAGGTAGAATACTGCAGGAGGTGTACAACAGTGTATTACTGGGAGAGTCTCTTGCTTTGCTACAAATGCTGCATGAAACACTGTACATCTGAGATTCAAATAATCTTGTACAGAATGTGTATTTCAGACAATAGCTGTAATTTAGAAATATGATTATAGACTAGAATCTGTAATGGAAACGACCCTCATTCTTTGTCGTCAAGACAAAGTGTAACAACAAGAGATGTGAGATTCAATAAACCCACCATAATGGTGTGACTTGCCAACTGATTTGGATATCATGCTTCTATGCACATTTTAATTGCAAGTGGCTATACAGAACAGGCACTCACAAAAATCATAGTAAGTGTAAAATAATAGACTTGTCTTGGTTTAAAATGCTCTAGCATGTGTTCTGTATTTTTTCAATAGCACTTTCAACAAAGAGCTTATTAGGGAGGTACTTGATTGTCAGAAGTAATCTTTGTTAGCTTCAATAGGTCCAAAAACAATAACACTTTCAATCTCATCTTTTCTTGCACTAGCCAAAAATTTCAGTCTTAGTGAGCTTGTAGACCAACCTTGTGTGTGAATCATGAATTAGTCTTGGTAAGTAAGGGTTCCACAAGAAAAAAAAATATATATATATATATATATATATATATACACACTTTTCATTTCATTTTTTTGCCTTCATTTACTTCTTTTTATTTTCAATTATATTCAGATGTTTCATTCTCCATGCTCCCCTCTTCTATTTGGCCCTTCTTCTTCTCAAGTTAGTTTGAGTCTTGTACAATGCTTCAACAATGAATGGTGCTATAGATCCAAACAAACTTTGGAATTACAATAATAATGTTATCTTTTCTTATTATCTTATTTTTGTTTTAGTTTTTATAGGTTGTGTTGCTTGAAAGGATTGTGTGCAATAATTCCCCCTTGATTTTAAATGCAACATGTAAACAATTTATATAAAGAACATTTAAATCTTCCTATTTAATATTAGGGTTGCAATTACAATTGGAGTCTAAAATTGCACAATAGAAATCAACTAACCTCAAATAGTATGCTTTAATGCTAAAATTATAAATATATTAAAAATATTTAAAATATATGTAATAACATTTTAGTGCTTGATATTAAAATAAAAAAATAAATCATATATATAATTTTTATTTTTATTTTGGCTTTAAATAATTGATCTTAAGCTAAAATAATAATCATACACTATGTTAGTATCTAATGTACATCTAAAGGGATTTTTAAAATGATTATATATATATATATATATATTTTTATTATTACTATATATTTTTTATTGACATATAATTTATAAAGTTCTATAGTTTATCTGGATATATTTTAATTTATTATCAATTAAGGTAAAAGACTAATCAATATTTTGTATTAGATTAATGTCAAAAAATACTAACTTAATTACAACTTTTTAAAATACTTGAAAATATAACAAGTAAGACTTATACTATGAATAATCTATCAAAAATATAATATTATTTATTGTGATTGAAAAACAAAACCATATTTATACTTTTGACATTAAAAAATAAATAAGCATAATTTTTAATACTGAAAATATATATATATATATATATATATAATATTCTAAACATTTTTGAAGATTTACTCTCTTTTACAATAATGCAATGAAAGTGAAAATCCTTGGATATCTTCTTAGTTTATAGAAGAATATATATATATATATATATATATATATGCCTTGCAATCAGAATTTAATAGAGTAAAATTTGCTGGAATTGGTTATTTGAAAATATATTATTTCAATATATATATATATATATATATATGCATGTAATTATTGGATAATCTTATATTTACCTATTTCATTTTACTAAAACATACTTCAGAAGTTAAAACTACTTTTATAATTTTAAAAGGGTGTTTGTATATATCTTATGATTCAGCTTTCAATGAAAGATAAGATTTTTGCAGAATAGTTGAAAGTTTTTCTTTTGATTTTTCAAAAATTCAATTAAAAAGTTGCATTACAAAATTCTAGTTTTAGTACCACCACATTTTATCAGTCAGTCTCCCTAGAAGGTGACCTTCATTGGCACACACTCTAGGTTTGGTGCTATTGAGATGGCCTACCTCTGTTCTTAAGCCTGCTACACAGGGCGAAACAGCAATAACAATTTAAGTGTCAGATTCAGCTATTTTGCTTCGAACTGTAATGACCAAGTTTGCGGTTTCTTGTCAGGCTTTCATGAATCGGTTGGTACATTCCTTCCGGACATCATCTTCCACTGATGATAGATAAGATTTTGGACTAAACATAGACAATCAACAATGTAGATGCTCATATGGCACCTGTGCAAATTTGCAAATCAACACCTAGTGTAACCACACGGGGAACTCATGTTCTCAAGTTTATTTGTTACAGTTCGACCTCGTTGGTAGAATTACCTCTGGTTTGCCCTCCAAAGATTCACTTCAAGAGATCCCTCTGCGAATGCATTTTTGAAGAAAAAAAACTGTTGTTGAAAATCCAATTGAATAATTGTTTTGATGGTCTCGCCGGATGATAACCATTTGTATTCCATATAACCCTCAAGTTAATTAATATTGTCATCTGTTTGATATTGAAGTAGGAAACGATATAAATCCTGAAACAGAATCCCTGATTGATTGAGAACCCTAATCACAAAAAAATTGTTGAACATTTGAATCACATGCAAGCTGCAAAATCCTGGCTTTGTGGTAGCAGACACGAGATATGAACAAAGTTAAAATACTTTAGAGAGTATTCAGCAACTTTGAATACGAGATTTCAACGTGGATGGTATCCGGGGGGGGGGGGGGGACAATAGGGCCGGATTGTAAATTGAACAACAGGAGCAGCAGCAGCATAATAAGGTGGCGGTCAGAGAGGGCATGAAACTGCAGCTCTCAACTCAGATGTAATAATCTGTTAGTGTGAGGTGGGGAGTGGGCTTTCTAGAAGTCGTATTCCATGAATTTGACAGGCATCTCAGCAAGACAAGTGACTCCCTCATGGCATCCCAAGGGCCTAAGCTGCTTCGCTCGGCAGGCAAGACTGCGAGCAACCTTGTCATCTCCGAGGAGATGCTCGACATAGGCTCGATGTTTTACCACTTCATACGTTTCACCCAGACTTTTTAAAGCACAATTAAGGTCCAGCATGGCACCCTTCAATTGGTTCATGTAGGTTTTGAGGACTCCACGTTCCAACATGTAGAATCCATCCTCTGGATAGAGTTCCATGCATCTATTGAGTTCATTTAAGACTTCTTGGCAGTTGCCCAACCTGACTTTCACCACTCTTCTCATGCTGCAAGAAATAAAATCTCTTAGTCAGACCAAGGCACCATTGCATAGACATGATAGTGCCCACATCAGCTGGTGAATTTTTGTTTGTGATGGGTAGGCGCACCTTAAAATATTTCCCTTGTCATTTGGATTCAGTATGTGAGCAGCCTCCAGATCAGCCAATGCCGAGTGGAAGTCTCCCATCAAATACTTCAAGCGTCCTCGTGCCATCAAAGTAGCCGAGAAGCTCGGAGAAAGGTGGTGAGCAGTGTCCAAGTCTCCAAGTGCACCGTCGAAATCATTTAGTAATCCTTTAGCCAGGCTCCGTTCAGTGAAAATTGTAGCATTACAGGGTTGAACTCGAGATGCCAAGTTCAATTCAGCCAGCATCCTTACGAAGTTACCCAATTTCCTTTCGCGTGCACTGTTCATCCTCAATGCAATGCTTAAAGTTGCCCGACATTGCTCGGAAAGATCCGTAATGGCCTCCGGCAAACACTTCAATTCTCGACATCCTTTCAGACGTAGTTTTTGGAGATGAGTCATTAGACAGATGTTGTTTGGCAACCCAGTCAGTTTACTGCAATTTTTCAAATCAAGGATTCTCAGATTCGAAAGTTTATTAATGCAACAGGGTAAGGATTCCAACCCGGAGCAATCGTGCAAGTACAATTCCCGAAGTCGGCTGAGTTGAACAAGGTAGTCGGGTAGCTTTATGACGTCGTTGGAGAGACTAAGGAACAATTTTTTCAGCTCACAGAGTTCCGTGATACACTCTGAGGGTTTTTCGATCTTCGACAGGTATAACTCGTGTAAGTACTTGAAGCAGTATACAAAGTCGATGTTGGTATTGCTGCTTATGTCAAAAAGCTCGAAATGCCGCAAACCCGTCAAACTCTCGAGACAATTGGGAAGATTGGACAGTGCTTTGGTAGAGAGAGAAAGCTCCTGGAGGTTGGAAAGCTTGCCCAATGAAGACGGGATATACACAACTGCGCTGCAACCTGAAAGGTGCAATTTTCTAAGCCTCACCATGTGGCCTATGGTTTCTGGAAGTGATTTAAGCCTGTCGCAGTTGTCCATCATGAGCTCTCGTAGGTGGGTGAGTTGTCCAATGGACTCGGGCAGGCATTGCAGTTGTAAACAGTTGCTGAGGTCTAGCTTGGACAATCCTGTTAAGGCTCCAATGGAAGATGGTATGCTTCGGAGCGCACTACAAAGACTGAGGTTAATCGTCTCTAATCGCGTGAGAGCACCGATGTTCTCCGGGAGTCGCTCCAGCCGATCACAACCTCGACAATTGAGTTCTTGCAAACTTCGCAGTCGACCAATGGAAAAGGATATTTCCTGGATATCAATGTCCAGATGCTCGGCGTCCATAACGTGGAAGGTCTACTATTAACTGAATGTCAAGCGACAAAGCAAAAAATAGGGTCCGTCTGAAATAGCTCGACGAAGAGTAACAGGTGCGTACCTTATCGGCACTTTCATCAAAGAGGTATTCGATCTTGCTCGACCCCAAGTTGAGAACAGCTAGTTTATCAAGCTCCTGAATTCCATCTGGAACATAATAGAACGGCATTCTAGGCCATCTGATCATTGTCAAATTTTTAGGGAAGTATGAGAAGCGTTCTCCTGCGGCTCCCTCAACAATAAGTATTCGCAAATCTTTCATCAGAGCGAATGCCTGAGCTGGGAATACTGCCTTGCTTCCCAACAGTGACAGGCCCTGTGATTTGAAGTTGGTCTTCACCGCAATTTCAGCGTCTGGCATCCACAACCGAGTCAACTCTACACGAGACGTTTGGCGTCCGAGGTCACGAAGTAGGTCGTGCATCCTGAGCTTGCCAGTGGCGTCTACTTGTACCAGGCACTTGTCAATGAGGTGGCCTAGTGTCTTCATCGACCATCCAAAGGCATTCCAGGCTCGTTTCGCAGTGTCCGCCGTCTCTCCTAGCAGCACAGAAGCGACGTCCAAGAAAATCTCTTGTTCGTTACTTGGCAATGCTTCGTAACTGATTCGCAGGCGTTTTTGAGTTCGAACTTTCTCGTCTGAAATCAACAGTATCATTCGTAGCTTCGTCAAAACTTCGCCCCAAATGCTAGGGTTTATTTCACCGCATAAGTGTGCACCAGCTACTATAATCTCTAAGGGAATTCGTCCACAAGCCACGGCGACCTCTGTTGCGATTTTATCAAAAGAATGCGGAGGTTTTTGCTGCATAAAAGCATGCCAAAAAAAGAGCTCTACTGCTTCCAATTCTGTTAATTCTCTAACCTCGTATGTATCATGTATTCCCAATTGTGCCACAACTGTTTTGTCTCGCGTAGCTACAATACCACGACTGCCATATCCAAGCGCGTCAGGAAGCATCAGGTTTTCCACTTGCATGCAGTCATCTATATCATCCAAGATAATTAAAACCTTTACGGACCCGCGAAGATGCTCCTTGATCAATGCCTGTCCGTGTCTTGGATTGTCAATGTGCACATCGTTCAACTTGCACAAATCGTGGATGATTTGTTGCTGCATGCGCACTAGTCCTCGTGGATGCTTAGACTTCTCTTTCACATCCTCGACGTAGCTCACCGCAGTGAAAAGATGTGATACATGCTCGTATAAGGCCTTGCAGATAGTGCTCTTGCCTACCCCTCCTGGTCCCAGAACAGCAATAACTCTCGCGGCTGGGCCTATCCGCAGCATGTCAAGAACTTCTGCTTCTCTTTTATCTAATCCTACCTCGTACCTGCACAAAGAGCCAAGTGGTTTTCGCTGTACTGCATCCTGCACTCTGGACACTATCCGCTTCACAATGGTAAGGCAGCACCTGTAGCCATAACCAGAGTATCCGTTCTCAATCTGTCACCAAACTAGACGCCATTGAAGAGATCACGGTTGAAATTGGCACGAATCCTCGAGCAGAATAACACTACAAATATTAAAAAATTACTGTGCCCGATTCAACCACATTGATAATGTGAAACCCAAGCAAGTGAGAAATTAATTAGGTCATATCAATTCGAGTAGTTTGAGGCCTCACCCATTCAGCATCTCACAGTCCCAATTTGGAACATCCGTCGCTCTGCGCAACGCAGCCTGGTACAAGGCTAGCTTCTGCACACCATGGTGTTGTTTAAACTTCTGCAAAGCATGCTTCAAAGCGCCAGTATCAGGCATGAGCAGATCACTTGGGGCGATGTCATACAGACACGGGAGGAAGACCTTCGCGGAGGACAACATGAGGCTAAGCTCCTCGAGGCAGAACTTTGATTCCGCGAAAGCCTTCGACAGCACCGACACGCATACTGGTGCAACTCGAATGGCATGAGCAATGCAATTCCTTGCCACCTCTCCCTCCGAGATATCTTTCGAATCCACATACACCTTGAACCCCGTTAAGTTCAGCGCTTCTTGGAGGTGATCCACAAAATCTACTTTCACGCATGCTCCTCTGTAGCATATGAAAACATCATAATCCTCGTGGCCTGCAATAATGAGCGATCAATGGAGGGGTTATTCATTTGACTTAGATTGTCGACCAGATTGTCGATGAACACAACATTGCTCATCTCAAATGTAGACATTGTTTCTTGGCATCTTCAAGTCATTCTCGCATGTTAAAATTTTACTCTACTTTCAAACCGTCCAGAAGGTCATTTTTATTTGAATGCGGAAAGCATGGTTACCTTCACGACTGTTTTTTTTCTCCTTGATTAGTTCCAAGGAACAAGATTGCGACGCTACCAAGGCCCCACGTGAACAACCAGTAGGTCTGCTGTCTTCTCGGACTCGATATAATACACCAAAGATTGCCAGAAGGCCGGCCAACAGGTAGGCTTTGGACACATTTACTGTAAATCCCCAAAAATTAGACATATTCCTGCAAAACGTCCTTGCAGGTGCTACTTTTGCCAACCCAGAATATTCAAGCTCTTCAAGCCCTCGACCACTGTTTCCATTTTGTCGGTTGACGTCCAGATTCATCGTACAATCAGTCATAGACTGAGGAGTATCAAAATCCTCTGTTAGTATAATCGGGTGGTGAGCTCTCGGTGGAATAGATTGTTCATGGTGTAAGCCTTTTGCGCCACTCACCGGGCACATAATGAAATTGCATTTTTAAGGTCATGGAGATCCATGACCAGTTGTAGACTCTCCATTCTGTCTTAAAAACCATTTGCACTCCAACTGTTCCACCGTGGATTCAAGTCTTGGAGTGAAAAACGTGAAATTTCAAGGCATGAGTTTGAGATTGCGACATGAAAGTGAGTGTAGTTTAGCCTCATCAAAGTGAGCTCCAACATGCTCAGATTCCGGATCTTGGGCATTGGTGATGCCATACATTAAAGCATAATCCTTCAATTCATGCACTCCAACTTTGCATCATCAGCACCAACGATTAATCCACTGAGATCGTTTTAAGCCACTGACCAAAAAGATTAATGTCTAAAAAATAAGACGCGCAGAACTCGACTAACCCACTGATTCTTAGTAAAGCACACCAAGCTACTAATGGGTTAATAATATGGCAAAGCAATGTATTGCAAAGTGGTCAGAAACATGGCCAAATAAGCAGCTTTTGGAAAATGTATGGACCTTGCTCAACGTAAGCTGTGCGAATCCAAGTGAAATGAAAGATATTAGGGATCAAGGATTGAAAACAAAGTTGGTATTGATGCGTTGTAAGGGCAGTTTAAAAGAGCCGAAAATTAGAATGACGTCGCGATGACTGTGGCGCTATGGCATCGGCAACGAAGGAACAAGAGGCACGTCTGTTGGGGGCAGAAAGGAATGCCAAGAAAGTAGCAATCTCGCCAAACCCTCTGGAAGCAGGAATCCGACATATAGGTTTCACACCATTCAGTGTTTTTCTACAACACGATATGGTGATTCTTTGTACATGAGCCTCGAGCTGTGACCCCCTTCTCATCCCAATCTTGAACTTACTCTGTATGTGGATCAAAGGTGCTGGCTTTGATTTCACTACATCGCACAACATCGTCATGGAGAGTGCATAAGATAGCTCTGAAGCATCTGAGACATTGCTGCCACGGCTTTGATTTCACAATGATGTTGCGTGATGCAAGAACAAGTATGAAGGGGGCAGAGGGTAAGGGGTTTTAAAACAAAAAAAAAGACAAAATCATGAACAATAACTCAGGGTTCAGGGTTTACTAAAATGTTCTGGTGGGAAGAGCCATAAGGATTTTCCTTTCATCCAGTACCAGGTACCAGCTGGGTACCTATTCCCCTTAATTTGCACTGGTCATTTTCCCAGTAAAAAGCCACTCATTCTGGATTAACGACAGGAGGATGCATATGGCCAGCTTTGCCATGACTGGATAGATTGTGCATTGATAGTTCCAACTAGCTCAGATAAGAAGGGAATAGGCATAGTTCAGCTGGTATCAATAAATGTCCAGTTCCTGATAATAGAACGCGGCTTTACTTGATGCATAGGATCACTGCACTTTATTTATAGAATCTACTCGCACCGATGTTTTGTCAGTATGTAATCTGACCTGCTACTCCGCTTCACCTGGTGGGTCGATTAAGTCCAAGACATCTAAGACCCTCTGACTGAACATCCAGTTGCCCCGACTGTGAATCCGCATCACTTTAACATTATTTGCCCTATTTGTTTCAAGACTCCTAACAAGAAATCGAATAGTCTACTTCTGTTTCATGGTGATTCGTGTGAAATAATTCACCAGGTCCTATTCCCTACTATTTGACAGAATCATCTTTTCAATTGACCGTTTTCTCATAAACTGCACTGCGGAAGTAGAAGGTTAGAGACAACTGGGAATTGTCACTGTCGAAACGAGCCGTATTGCCGATGCTGAAGGCAGTGTGGAGATGTTGAAGAACCGCTGACCCCGGAGACGAAACGGATACATCGGTAATTTTCAGTGAATTTGAGTGTTACTAGACTGGCACATTTGAGTTACAATTATACCGGTGCATCAATCATTTCATCCTCGTCTTTCAAGAGTACCTCCATTTTTAGGGCGCAGGAAAGTTTTATTACATGAGTAATACTGGTAGCTAGTTGCGATCTCAAACCGGAAGAAAACCATATTGCCCTCGGATACTAGGAATTCTCTGGATACACATTCAACTGCAAAACTGAAAATTAAACATGCAATGGTTACTGTAAAAATAGTTACACATTGTCATTATTCATGACATTTGTTGCTCTCTGAAGTTTAATTAAACGCCCAGAAGACTCCATGCTGCAGAGATAGCCATTACTTTCCGCAGTCTCTTAGAGGAGAGCTGTCTGTCGGGGGCCATTAGATCAGTCCAAACGTCCGAATAGTCTCTGCCTGCCTTATAGCGTACTTCATGTATCGGAGAGCAACGGATGTGGATAGTTCTTTACGCTACGTACCAAAAAACTCTGAAATCTATATGCTCATTTCCGAATTGCTCATGTCGTATACCTCATTTAGGCACCAAAATGCACAGAAAGCAAATCAGCTTAATAATCCCCAGGTCTAAACCTTGCTTCAAAATTTGAGATGCAACTAAAGTCGCAGAGTGTACCCATCGAGAGATGTAAACTAGTAAAATCCGTACACTGAGTCTACTAACAAGACTAAGCCATCAATTCCTAGTTTGAAAATGAAAATGAAAATGAAAGAAACTGTAAATCAAATCAAAAAATCGCGCTACGTCTCAGAACAGAGATTTTAATTTTTACACTCCGAAATTCCGACGATGACATTATAAAAGAGCACGTCTTCCATGTTTCCTCGAGCGGCATTCCTGTTCGTCGATGGGTAAGGGATACATGCAATGGGTCTCGTTTGTCATACAAAGGAAGAGGCGCTCGTAAGCGGATGCCATCTTCTTGGCTGTGAACATTTTGGAGGCGTATGCAAGGCACGTCTGGCCTTTCTCCCACAACTTTTCCTTTCCATCTGTGACAACCTGCTCGAGTGCTGCGACAAGCGATTCGACGTTGGGAGAAAAGGTGTAACCGAATGTCGGATCGGTTATGACACTCCAAACGATACTTGAAAAATGGGTGGCCAGTAGTGGTTTACCACATTGCATTGCTTCCAAAAGGGTGTGATCCAGCCCTTGAGATCGAAGGGTCGGATTCACGAAGATGTCAACCGCATTATAAAAATCTGCAAGCTGCAAGGGCGTCAGAGGCCCAAGGGTTTTTGCATTCGGCGCAAGCTCCTCGTAACGATCACCCCACGGCCCGGATCCCGCTACTAACAAATACACATCCTTGTGCTTCTTCCGGATTTCAGAGAATGCCTCAAATAGGAGTGGATGACCCTTGTCTCGCACCAATCGTCCAGCAGCTCCAAGCACCAGACTCGCATTCTCCGGGACCCCATACCTATTTCAAATTAGTTTTATGAAGACAGTGTTGAACGTCAGGTGGCATCGATGATTGAATGCTCGACTGACTGATGGGTCGCTGGACAGACTGATGATTAGGTTCAGAACCCTAACTCTGATAATTAACTAAAATCCTGTTGCGAGAAAGACGCTTGAGAAACAGAATGAAAGAGCTTGTGAGACATCAACCAACCAGTGGTCAATCCAGCATTAAAAAAAGAAATTTGAATGGAATCGGATTTTGGGACTTTAATAAGGTAGTTCACTCACAGAAGACAGAACAAAAATGAAAGAGAGCAAGGAGGAAAAAACACGTACTTCGCCCTGAACGCAGCTCCTGCAAAGGGGTTTGGACGAAACTCCTGCTCGTTGACGCCGTTGAGAATAATATGTACCTTCTGTAGAGGAAGCTCATAGATCGTGCGCAGTACGTCCCCAACGTAGTCACTAGTTGCAACATGGTGCTTGTAACTAGGAAAGAATCGCACTTCGTCTGCGACCCGTGCCAAGCGCCCGCCCATACTCTGCGATAGCTCTTGAGAACGAGGCTCTCCAGGCTTGCGAATCAGGTCCTGTACGATATCACTGTGAATGACCTCGAAGGCTATTCCATGCCACGATGCGGCAAGCTTCTCAATTTCGCGCGCCCGCCAGTGAGGCAACGCGACACTCTCTGAGTGCACAATATCAAAAGGATGGGTAGCATTTATCTCAGAGAACTTCTCCCACGCTCTGCTGTGATCGAACCCACCTCCTGCGTTCGGCTTCACGAAATGTAAGTGCATGTTGGGATGCCGTTGCTCCTCCTGAGCTTCCTCATCCTCGTCACTTGTAGTTGCACCCGGCTGCCTCATCGTAAACACATGCACAACGTGACCGCGGTCCGCAAGCACCCGATGCAACGTCATGGCGTGGCGCTCCAATCCTCCCGGCGTACCACCAGTAGGCCACTTCTTCACGAATAATGCGATATTAATCCTCTGCGGCGGCTTAGATCCATAACACAGCCGGTTCCATGCCGTGGAAAGATCTCGAACATCCCCAGACCACAGTGCCAGATCCACCCCATCGGCACCATTTGTCGAAAGTTTCCCGGAGTTGGCAAAATTTCGGGCATCAGAACCCTCGAACCCCACGTTTGACCTGCACGAGGCAGATCCCATCAACACCATGACATAGCAGAGCAGCGAGCCACTTAGCATGACGGCCCACACCAACCTCCATGACACCGCCATCGCTCCAAGGTTCCCCTTAGCAGCACCACTGCGCCATCTAGGTTTTTCCCCCATCATGTAAGAATTTGGGAGGAGAGGAGAGGCACGGCGGTCCCTCCGTCGACGTTACCTTCCAGCTTCGCTTGGGCACTGAGGCCATTGACACTAAGTCGCCTTGTTCTCACACGCCCTGCATGTCGTGGCGAACCATGATGCTGCAGCGCGACGTCGGCAGGACAGGTGCATTCATCCCTCGTCATTTCTAAGCAAACTGCAATGTCGCAACCCTGCACACCTCAAAACGTGCGGCTACAGTGGCGGTGATCTTGGCACATGAGAGACCGTAGCCACTATTATCTGCTACCGTATAAGCAAGCGCAAAGGGTTGGGCAGGACGATGATGGCAACGACGACGAGGAGCTTCGTGAGGCGTTCCATTACCTTGAACTGTGAAGCTCGTTCATCCCCATTCGAACGTGCCACCATCTCCACACTTTGTGCGGCATCAAATTGGGATTCCGCGGTCGATCTCCCTCTCTTTCCTAATATGCACAAATTATAGATAGTGACGGAGAATATGGTTTTGCTTTTTATTCCCGCTTTGAAGATCAATTGCTTCCGGTCTTCGAGTTCTTGTTATGAGAGGAAGCCAAGCTGGGAGTTTAGAGAAGAAAGTAATGAAATAGTATCAACGCTCTCGTCCTGGAAAACACCATCACATGTTATTTCCTAATGCCGATGACAACTGTAGAGTGCTTTACACGTGCACCCGAGAAGGAGTTCCCACTGAATTTCATACATGGTGTTGTGAAATCACCCCAAATACACATCTGCACTGGAACCCAAGCAGGAAAGTCTGGTGAGGAGGTCGTGGATATGCATGTGCGGCTTAGGCTTGATTAGTCACTTAATAACCGCCGAGTTCCTGGACAAGCCGACTGGCTCAACGCACCTCGCAGAAGTTCCGAATGCCAGATTTGTACAATGGCGGATTCCTAATCTGCCAACTAGAGACTGCTGATTCTGCCTTGTATTATTATGGTCAAGTCACCGTCACTTTGTCACTCAATCAATCGTCAAACCCAATAAAGCTACTAAATCAAGAATGAATTGAAGGTGGTTTGATTTGTGTTGGTGGAATCTTAAAACTGAGTCCTCTGGTGGCCTGATCGTTGGAATCCCTGTGAATGGGCTGAAACTGGAGACATATTTCACGCTTACATTAGGTCTTGCATTTTTATATTTACTTGTTCACGGAGAAATCCACAGATCATTGCCACGAGTAAACGCCAATAAATGGGAGATAAAGGCAAAATGTATATCTAATCAATACTAGGCGAGACAACTATTGGCTGTCCAGTTCGTATCGTGAACGACTCTCATCACAAGTTTGTTCTCGAGACAGTGCCTCATTCTTGGTAGAGACTCCAATGTGGACTTCAAAAACAGCGTCACAAAAATTGATAGAACCAGGTTCAGTAGCACATCGATATCTGACACACCAGGGAAAACGTGGCAGAAGAGGGTGATAAGCTGACACCTTGGCACCGATAATTGTGCCTAAAAGCAGAAAGTTGCTAATGAGATGTGTCTGATGAGCGATGCCTCGGCGTTCCTTGAGATGACCTCGACTTGTTTGGATTAAATTTCTGTAACTCAACAAATAATGAAACCTTGAATTATTTATCTTTGAATTAATATTCTTTTTTTTCTAAATCTTGATTTTTTTTTATCAGAACAACTTTGTGCAAATGTTCATTTGACATTACAGATTGCAAATTATCCTCCTCTATTTGATTTGTGGATTTAATAAGTTGTTTGAAATTAGAAGAAAAAAATCATGGATGCTACATTTGGTGGATGTTAGAATAGATTTGCAACTATTTCAAATCTTTACAAGCTTATCAACACTCTTAACGTGGGAATTTTACACATTACCAATGTCAACTACAAAAACACTATTTCTATACCTATAAAAGAAGTCTAAAGTCTATGCTAAAAAATTGTGTAGTTGAAGGAAGCACTTAGATTAAACTAAAATTAAAATCATGTTAGATTATTATAAATTATGATAGTTATTATATTCTTTTTCCTTATTTTAATTATGCTATTTAGGCTTGTTTTCTAAATACCAAATTAATAGATAAAAATTGAAGTAAAATTTTATAATATTAATTAGATATTTAATTATAAATTACTTATGTATATTTATTATTAATTTTAATAGAAAATTAAAATTAAGATGTTAAAAAATATTTTAATAACATAATTTAATATTTTATATATTTATTTTTTATAATTATTTTCAATAAATTAAAAAACTCTTAGCTAGAATAGTTGAATATATAATATATAAAAAAATGTAATATCTTTTGTACATGTTAAAAGATATCATCAACTTCTAAAAATATGTGAATATATTATAAATTCCATTATTTTAATTTCAGCACATTTATCTTTTATTCCCTATTGTCTTTGGTTTATCTTTTATTATAAAATATTTTTATTGTATAAAAAATACATATTTTTAATTAAAATATAAGTACATAAAATTATTACAAATTATTTTAAAAAAAATAAAATACATATAAGAAAATTGTAACAAGTTTTGGTTATATTTTTGTGTTTATTTTTATATTTTTAGCCAAAAATGATTAAGATACTAAAAAAATTATTTTGAATATATATATATATATATATATATATATATGTGTGTGTGTGTGTGTGTGTGTGAGTAATTATATACAAAGGATAATATATTTTTACTTTTATTTCTATATTTATATAAATATAAATTTATATTTAAAATAAATTAGAAATAAATATAAAAAAAACTGTTTAGAAATAATAATACCATATTTTATTAGTTGTTTCAAACATAAAATAATTTTTTTACTAAATACTCTAAAATCTTTAAATAGAATGATTTGGATTTTTTTTCAATATTATTTATTTAAAGCTAAAAAAATTATAAGAAATTATTGGTGCAAAATAAAGATAAAGTGAGTTTATTTTATGTTATAAGAAAATGTACTACAATAGTTCAAATCTTTTTTAGATTATTATTTCAATAAAATTAAAGTTTTAAAAAATAAAAAATAATTTAAATTATACATATTTAAATTTTAAAATTATAATTTTATCTATTTTTAAAAATAATAATATAAAGTAAAAACCAACTTTTATGAGAAAATTTTTGAGAATGGAATTACAAACTTTCTTTGCAGTAAGATGCTAATATAAATCATTATAAGTTATAAAGGCTTTATAAATAATATTCAAATTTTCTAGGATTGTATAAGAAAATCTTACATATAAGACTATATCATGGTATGTGGAATTTTTATAAAGTTTTATGATGTAACTACATAGAATACTATAATAGAATATTTACAACAAGTGTAGATCTTGAATAAAAAAAAGCAAAGAATTGAAATTAGAAGAATTTAAAAATGAATTAGAATAAAGAGTATATCAATATTTTATAGATATTATATAGATTAGGAATTATTTTTAAACTAAGATTTAAAAAAATCAAATGATTAAAGAGCGCCACATTTGTTAAATTGGAGTAAAAAACTAATGTATTTCTTTGACCAAAGGTGAAATAGAATTATTTTAAAATAAAAAAGAAAAAAAAAATATATATATATATATATATATATTCTAGTATATTTTAGTGACATACCAATATTAATTTGTCTCAAAAGTAGAAAAATATCAATAATTAAAAACATATTTAAAGACAAACAATAACTTTAAAATCTCATTATTAAATGTTTTGTAGCTAATATTAATTTATTTTGTAAATTAAACGTAGCATATATAATTTTTGTCCAAGTTTAAAGTAGAAATGAAATAAATTTTATATTAAAATAGAATTAATTGAAAATATCTTATTTTGTATGACTTAAATCTAATTGATCTTGTCTTCCATATTGTGTATGCTATGTCAGCTTAGTAAAAAAGAAGCAAACAAAAATAAAAGGCTTGACAAGATAATCTTAAAAAATATCAAAAACTTATCTATAGAATTTACAAAATAGTCTAAGTATAAAATGTGAAGTTATTGTTAAGATTGTAAAGACTAATTTGGATGTAGAAGAAGACATGGATATTAATATTAGTGAAATAATACCATTAATAATACACAAGAAGAAAATAAAATATACTTAAATCAATAATAGAAAATACACTTTATAATTGGCAATGTCTGCCTTTAGTGTTAAAAGATGTATGAATTGTATTATCTTATTCAAATATAGTTAAGATTTGAGTTTTTGCACTAGTACTAATATTGCTTTGAATAGAAAAATATTATCTCAAATAAATTATTTTAGATAACTATAATATAAATTTAAATTTATAATACATTACATTAATTTATAATTAAAGAAACATGTATGTAAAATAAATAGATGTTAAATGAATGTCTTCTTTTTAAACACATTAGATTTAAAAAAAGTCTATTAATATAAAAGCAAATCTAGTTTATAATAAATTACTACTAATTTTATAAATATATTTTAAATACATTCCTATTATTTTTTTCTATTATAGATAATAATCTCCAAATTTAAATTAAAATTTAAAAAACCTATTCGTCTTTAGAATAGTTGAATTTAATTGTAATTGTGCCAATACTTTAGGCATTGTAAGAGGTGTTTTTTCTAAAAATTATAAAGAATATTTTTCAAAATTTAAAAGAAAATTATAAATTGTATATAAAAATAAATTTCTGATTAAATATCTGAAAAAATATATGGTCTTGTGGTTTAAAATCTAAATATCGTAAAATTCAAGAATACTTAAACATCACAACAAAAAATATAGAATAAAATTCATAAAATAAAACTTTATTGAACTAAGTTAGATAAATTTATTTCTATCTTTGTATGTAATTTAGGTGAGTTGTGTCATTTGTTACCATATTAGAGACAAATAGTGTCTGAAGTTGTAAATTTTAGATTTTTTTTGTTATGAATAATATTTATGTTGGATATTTAAGTAAAAAAACTATTGAATCTTAAATTATTTATTAACATTTGATTCTTTCTAAAAATACATATCATAAAAAACATATGATTGAAGTAATACTTTTTAAATTTATGATTTTATGATTTTTTTCTTATTGTTGTGTATATGATTGAAACTGTAAGAAAGTAAAAAATGACATGAATTGGTGAGAGGAGCCAAAGAAAGAGAAGTTTTTTACTCATACTAATTTATTTCAAAGTCTTACGGGTTTTTGATTTAATGTTATAAATAATGATTAACATTGATAAATTTATGTCTTTTATATGATTTTTTTTAAAGCTACATCTATGATTTAAGTATATTTATCTAATATTAATATTGAGACTATAATTATGAATGCTAAATAATATACCTATTAAAATATAAAATTATCTTAGTTAGTTAATAGATTCAGTTTGCAAAATGGACCAAGTAATAATAATTTTAAAGTTTTTATTAACATAATTATATTTTTATATTAAGAAAATTTATTTTAAAATTTTTTTACACGACAATTTTTTTTAAAAAATAATATAAGATCTTTAGTAAAAAAAATATCACATTTTTTATACGATCTCCAAAAAAATAATATTTATATTTAAAATTTTCATTGCTAGTGTTAAAAATAAATCTTGGTAGTTATTTTTTAATAATAAAAGAAAATATTATGATTTAAAATATTAAAATATAAAAAATTATTTAAATAATTAAATATAAAAAATATTCATTATATATATATATATATATATATATTAATTCAATGAATTATGATTTTATTTATT